TTTTTTTTTTTTTTTTAGAAAATGATCAATGGTGCAAAGGTTGATTTTTGGGCTTGCATTAGCTTCGCACGTTCTAATGTTGATGCCGGAAGATTTTGCCATGAGTTGATCAATATGTGTACCAGTAAAGGGATGGTATGTGCATGTATATATTTTTTGGACTAAGAATAACAGTGGCGGCTGAACTACCTTGCAAAGTTTCTTCCTTCTACTATTTATCTTTCTTCTTATTCTTTTGTTGTTGGGGGTGGGTGTTTCAGGTCTTTAACTCAAGCCCTTTAGTTCCAATCCGCCAAGGACATTCTGGCCAGATAGAAAGATCCCTGTCTGATCTTCATAACGACTCTAATTCTCGACTTGCAAGCATGGGTGCAACTGGGAGACAGCTTCAGCTGCTCATTATAATCCTTCCTGATGTCAGTGGTTCCTATGGTAAAAGCTAAACCCCCTGTGAGTCTGAAATGCAACGCAGATTGTAGATATATATTAATTGCTGTTTTTTTCTCATCTCTGTCCAGGTAAGATAAAGCGCGTTTGTGAAACTGAGCTTGGGATTGTGTCCCAGTGTTGCCAGCCGAGGCAGGCATCAAAATGCAACAAGCAATACTTGGAGAATGTTTCTTTGAAAATCAATGTGAAGGTATAAATACTATTTCCCAAAGTTGATTTATATTCTTTTTTTTTTTATCTCTTCTGATTTTTTAACACTGTTTACTACCTCTTTTTCTAATTTTTTTTTTCTTTCTCTCTCTTATCTTGTGGTCAATCTTAAAACAGGTTGGAGGCAGAAACACTGTCCTGGAAGAGGCATTAAACAGAAGAATGCCTATAATTAGCGAGCGGCCGACAATTATTTTCGGTGCCGATGTCACTCATCCTCAGCCGGGGGAAGATTCTAGTCCTTCTATTGCTGCAGTATGTGTCTCTCTTCCGTAATAAATACTATGTACATTTGCTCTACATCTTTCTCTGTTGAAGTCGAATGAATGTCAAAATGAGTTGAAAGTTGTATGTAACCTGCAGGTTGTGGCCTCAATGGATTGGCCAGAAATCACCAAGTACAGGGGACTTGTTTCTGCACAGCCCCACCGTGAAGAAATTATTCAAGATCTCTATAGTGAGAAACAGGATCCTGTAAAGGGTCTTGTCCGTGGGGGAATGATTCGGTTGGTGGCCTTATTGATCCATAGTGTGTAAGTTACCTGTGTGTTATATTTTATTTGCTTTAATGGTATACTTGTTTCTTTTTCAGGGAACACTTGGTTGCCTTCTACAAGTCGACCGGGCAAAAGCCTCATCGTATCATATTTTACAGGTTAGTTGACTGTGAGCTTATGAGTACTTGTGATATTAAAAAGAAAAATAATGGTGTGTCCTTTGATGATCGATTTTTCACATGGCAGGGATGGTGTAAGTGAAGGCCAGTTTAACCAAGTGCTGCTGTACGAGATGGATGCGATTAGGAAGGTCTGTTTTCTTATTGTTCTTTCTTTTTCTTTTACATGTAGATTTCTCCCTTCAAGGATCCTTTGTTTGAATTGTGAATATGTTTGGTGGTGATCCTCAGGCATGTGCTTCTTTGGAAGAAACATATATGCCGAGAGTCACTTTTGTGGTGGTGCAGAAGAGACATCACACCCGACTTTTTGCTTGTAATACTAGAGAGACTGACAGGAGTGGTAACATTTTGCCAGGTATACAAAATCGAGTTTAGGGAACTTCCTTTTATTTATTCTTTATGCCACCTGTTTGAAGCGTGTTGCTTTCTTGTTTTTAGGTACTGTGGTCGACACCAAGATATGCCATCCCCATGAGTTTGATTTCTACCTCTGCAGCCATGCTGGAATTCAGGTAAGTCTCAGTGGGTTTAACACGTTTTTTTTTTTTTTCCTGCTGCATTCCCTTAATTTTTCTCTTTTTAGGACTTAATGCGAATCTATAGATCTGAAATAAACGATTTTAAAAATGTAAATGCTGACAGGGTACTAGTCGTCCAGCACATTACCATGTGCTGTTTGACGAGAATGGGTTTAGTGCGGACATAATGCAAATGCTGACCAACCGCCTGTGCTACACGTAAGTGTTTTATATTCTCGAGTCCCGTAATTCCTATCAAAATCCATACATATAAACACTCAGCATTTTCTCTTTTATTTTGTCCTCAGATATGCAAGGTGCACTCGCTCAGTTTCCATAGGTAAGTATTGACAAATGCTTAACATATATTACGAAAAGCAAATGCTTAACATATATTACGAAAATTAGCCTAATCATTCGATTCCACTGGTTTGCTGTCTAGCTTACACTTTGTTCCATTTGTATTATTTTCATATTTAGATCCAATTTTGTACTTTATCCACATTATTGTGGTGTTGTGCAGTGCCACCGGCATACTATGCCCATCTGGCAGCATTCCGAGCACGGTACTATATTGAGGGCAATGAGCTATCTGACAGTGGGTCGACCTCTGCTGGTGGTGGTGGTGCCACTCGCGGCAGGACTGCCGAAGTTCGGCCTTTGCCTGTCATCAAAGATAATGTGAAGGATGTCATGTTCTATTGCTGAAAACAAGCTAATTGATCTTTTGAATAGTTGTTCTCTTTATTGTCTGTCTTGGCTGAGAAAACAGTACCACTTTTGGGAAATGCTGATGATGGGTTGAACGGCCTACCAATTTTTTTGGGATTTGATGGCTTTTGGATATTTTGGTCAATTTGGCTACAGTTGGCCAAAATGATGGATATTGTTATTATACATTTCTTACTATGGATTTGTTAAAAAATTTTAAGCTTGTATTGTGTAGTACAGAAGATGATGGAAAATATTTTAGCTGATACATTTCACAGATTGCTTACCAATATCGCCTCATTTTTGTGTGTCAATTCATGCAATTATGTGCGTAGAAATTTGATGTCTATTGTGAAATATTAAATTATGGATATTGTTAGCCTTAGTAGATAGGCAAAATAATGTAATTATAGAGTTGATAACGAACTAAACGTTCGTAAATAAAAGTTTGTTAGTTTGTTAATCGAGCTGAGTTCTAACAATAAATTAGACTTGTTTAATAATCGAATTAACAGGAGCTCATTCGATATGTTCGAACATTTAGAAATAGTTCTATTTTTTTTTTTTTTTTGAGTTAATCAGGCATATTTAAAAATCTTATGTCCTAAATTATTCGAATACGAACGAACTCGAACTTTGACAAACAACTAAACGAGCTGAAACACGATTTTTTGATTGAAAAATAAACGAACGAAAACGAATAATGTTCGAACATAAACGAACACGAGCTCGAACAATCCAAGTTCGGCTTGTACAGGTCGATTACAAAACTATGTAACTACCAACTATAAAATAAACTATAAAAAATAACCAGACAAATTATTTAGAAAAATACAAACAAGTTTATAAAAATACGTGAAATTGAAAATAACTGAAACTCTAATATGTAAAAAAGACATTTGATAGTGCAAACATACAAATTTCAAAAATGAAAAAAAAAGACCTTAAAAAACCAACATCTGTCTGCAATAAATAAATAAATAAATCCTTGATAAAGAAAACCACATAAAACCAAGAAAAGAAAAAACTCTTAATTTTCTAGTGAAGAAAAGAGATGAAATTGACAAAAAAAGAAAAAAAAAGGATCAACACCTAGACATTGAAAGAAAATAAAAAAGAGGAAGTGAAAACAAACTCTTAGAGCATGATTGGATACAAAAAATTCTCAAAAAAATCCAAACATTTTTAACTCAGCCACTTTTTTAACTCAACTTTAACTCAACCCCACTATCATCAATATTATTAATATA